CTGATTGGTCCATTAGTGTTAGGGTAACCAATCAGGAGCCATCTTATCAATATGATATCACACTACCGAAACAAGGTGTCCCTGATTGGTCCATTAGTGTTAGGTTAACCAATCAGGAGCCATCTTATCTATATCACTCTGAAGAAACAAGGTGTTCCTCGATGTGTCCATTAGTTATATATATGATATCCATTAGTGTTAGGGTAACCAATCAGAAGCCATCTTATAAATATGATATCACACTAAAGATACAAGGTGTCCCTGATTGGTCCATTAGTGTTAGGTTAACCAATCAGGAGCCATCTTATAAATATGATATCACACTAAAGAAACAAGGTGTCCCTGATTGGTCCATTAGGTGTTAGGGTAGCCAATTCAACTAACAATTAGTATTCTTGCGATTTGGAGAATTCTCTTGAGGATCTCAATAACTCTTTTCGGTATTCAAACAAATTATTCCATTCATCTTTCTTCTGTAGTAAATCATTATTCTTCTTTGCTTCGTAATGGAACTGTGGTCCTTTCATTTCATACCTATGACAGAAAATAAGAGTAGTTATTATTATTAACACACCCTATCAACGGCCTTTGCCAAGATTTTCTTACAAAAATATCATATAGAATAGATGATAACGGAGCACTTTTGACATGGAAACAGTGAATACATCAAGAGATAAACTACCGGTAGTCAGTGGCAGTCCATATTACAAGTAATGAATACAGGGCTTGAAATTTTAGGATGAGAAGAGACCCAATTTTATGGCCAAATATACCACAAATGTAATACAGAAAATATCAGCATTTTTGTTATAAATTACTGGGCATCAATTTAATGTGACTGCATGGAAGAATGGGACGGCAATATTGCAGTATGAGACACTGTTTTACTAACAAAATAACTACATTACACAAAGTGTTACCAGAGAAAACAATAACTACATTGTGAGCAATATATAATTAGCAAAACAGTGTCTCATACTGCAATATTGACATTCCAATCTTTCTTGCGGCCACAGTGATGGACCTTACATGCAAAAGGCCACTAAGGTTTCATAGAGAGTGAGACAGCCAAGAAACTTGTTTTTGTTCTTCATTATCCTTCGTCATTGCGTCCACAGTTAAAAATACCATGGTTACTTAAATCAGATAAACAGTGGAAGCAATGAAAAGATAATAGGTAACACTATTTGAGGGGCATTGTTTTGTGGCTCTCTCGCTCTCAACTACATCTCGGCAGCCATTTGCATATGAGGTACACTGCCTACGATGCCTCTGTGAAGTTCAATCCATATGTTACATACTTATCACGCCCTGTTCGATAAATTGTTGAATTTCAAACTAGTGCTGTGCAGCGACCACCACCATTTAGGTTAATAATAAATTTTAACTGTTATTGCATATATTTTACTGGGTTCTATTTCAAACTACTTTTAAAGCGCATCATATAGTAATATTAGTGTTTTATACTACATGTATATTGTATCACTGAAAGTACAGGTTTAACTGCATGATGTTCACATACCACTTTGGTGTCGGCCCTCTGATTCTTTCCAGCTCCAACTGACGTTTCACCTCCAACAACTTTTCCTCCTCCAGTCGTAGTTTCTGCATGCGTAGTTTTGCTAATTCATATTCATATGGTGATGCTATAACATCAGACTTCATCAGGGACGGTTCTGCAGCTTTCAAATAGTAATAGTCATTGGAAGCTCGTAATCTCGGATCCGATGCTACAAATGCACTCTTAGGTCGATGTGTGGACCTTGATGACACCGGTAATGACCTAGAACGTGATGGTTTCAAGGACGGAGGAGGGCTGAAAGTACGATACATGTTTGGCAAAGTATTTCCGAGCGTGACTGGATATGACTTCCGAGCATCGTGATCAACAAAACTTTCTGATATGAGTTTCCGAGCTGCCAGGTTTGTACCAAGAGCTCCACTATCCCGGTCAGATTTCCTTGTATCACTTACATCTAGCCCAGCACTTTGAAAAACTGGATATTCACTGCTTTTCGTTAAATGTATTGGCTGAGTAAACCATTGACGTTTACCATGACTTAAAGATCGCCCAACGAGAATGTCATCAATTGCCTGTTCCTGTCGACTACTTCTCTCTATCAACCTCTGCAACTCTTCTTCGTAGTCATCCACATCGTCATCTCTTCTATCTCTAAAACTTACACTCTTTGACAAACTTCTGTTCATGCCACCGTTCAGGCCGGAAAAGTCCAGAGAAAATTCATCCAGACGATCTGCGTTGTAGGTACGACTTGATGGTCTGTAGTTGTCTGGGTTGTACATGGTATTTTGAGATAATGCTCTCGTTGTCATGGTCTTCTGAGAATTTGATAGATAGTCAGTAGGTTTCTCCCTGTGGGCAGATTATTAAATATATTTAACCAAGTAGTAATGGTGAGGTCATTTACCGGTAACGAAAAAATAGCATCGAGAACAATAAACATTAAATGATTGTTTGCGTGGTAATTTGAAATGTCGCCCTCAACGCCGAGCAAAGCGATGAAATAATTTCGTCCACAGAATAGTATGGACAACACACAACATACTAGTACTTGAAAATAAACAATGGCACAGCACGGCGCTGATTTAGTAATACGGGTACACAAGCAAACTGCCACAACACTTGACTGACCGCGTCCATAACAACGGCAAATAACATGACAGTATTGGCAACAGAAATAACGTATGAACAGTAAATAACTTGAACGATTCGTTAAACAGAAGGTAAATATTCACCACACCTGACTGTCGCCGTTTGCCCGTGAAGAACAAAGTCTTCATCGGGATTACGGACCGAATAATATCCGTAGTACTCGGAGTCATCAGTCGCCATTTTGCAGCAGCATATGACCTATCATATGCAAATGAGGTCGCGATGACCGTAAGGGTGAAAACAGTACCAGGTCGATTAACAGGGTTTGTGTACAAATTAAAATACAAATTATTGATCACGGGATAAAAAAATTTTTTTTTTTCAATTTCAAGACAACTACTTAAATCTTTCTGTTGAAAATAAATATTGATATTAAAATAGTAATTACACAAATAGTATTATTAGATTAATGAATATTCTTTGTTTAATGAAAGTTGCCTCTGTACTTGGCTAAAATTGAAAAATAAATCAGCACAAAAAAAATATTTTATACTAAATATTCTTTTTTAATTATGTAGATTTTAATAAACAATTGCACATAGTACCCAATGATGCTGGTAACAGGGTGGGTTTTTTTAAACTATGAAATCAAAGAAACAGAAATTACGAATTATCTGCAGTTTTTTGAAAAATGTTTTCCACAAGAAATCAATTGGTGAATGCTTTGACCTACTCTTTTAAACAAAACAAATCTATTATAATCAAATTAGACAGATATGGAACCTGAAAAAAAATTGAATTTTCATTATTTTTTGTCAAATTTGAACAAAGCACAATATTACATTTCTAGTAGCACTTGTGCTTAGAGGGTCGGCAAGGGATATTTTCTTAAGCTGTGTTCAATTGTTTTTATTTTCGTAATACTTAATTCAAATAAATAAAAAAAAACGTATATTTGTAGACATGAGAAAATGTAAATGTAATCAGCTATTTTATTCGTTCGTAATTGTAATAAGAACTTATTTTTTGTAAGCGTATAAAGCATTTTCCAAATTAAATGTTGTAATTTTTAGGCAATTCAAATTTTGATTCTTAAACACAAATTATCAAATATATTATAAAAATGTTAAATGAAATTTGCTTCATCTGTGAAGTGTAAAAACCTATACGTTACTATACTGTAAATGGAACTTTCATTTTATTTTCTGTAAAAACGTAAAATGCCTTTTTTATTTCCTGTACTTGTACCAGCTATCCCCCCTTGCTCCTTTCTGCTCACATAAATGATAGGAGCGCATCTCTGGTTAAGTAATCCAACTTTAATGATGAAATATAAATGCAATTTTAGGTTTGCGTACTAAAGCATATGTACTTTATTTCTCAGTGTTACACAGTCAATAAACTGTGACCGTAGTGTTTAAATAATATTTGTTGCAAATATAAATCATCTAGATAAAATTGCGAACTCACAATTTTAAAATATTTTGCGTAACATACACTAATTAAATTTACATGATTTTAACAAAGGCTTTCAATGTCGAATATTCCTTTAAATAGGAGTACCCTTAGCTGACGTTGCTTAGACTAAGTGTCACTCAAACATTACCATATATATCAGAATTACGCTATACAGTATACAATGTCATCAGCACAAATAAGACTACTCGACTGAATTATTATCAATATTTATTTTTAACAAACAATAAAAAATACATTGTAAACCACAAGTATGTAAATGTGTTGTAATAAAAACGTATCGATGTACCAGTTCTTACAACTAAACGTTATTAAAAGGATACATACCAAAATACTTTCTATGTATTCAAGTATTTGTTTGTCTCCAACTAGTAGAATAGCCAAAATCGCAACCACCATTAATTTAATTATATTTGCACTACCTTAGTAGTTTACCTGGAGCAACACTGATTACATGCAAATATAAGCATATCTGTATACCTGAATTCAGAATTTAAGTGTGGTGCCAGAGAATCTCTAATTATTTCATTTCTAATGCAGCAGCAATAAACACTTTATAACTGATCAACATTTCAATACTGCATTTGTTCTATAAGCAGCACATAGCTCAGATAGATCAAAGTGGTATATTTCTAATTTAAGGATGGCGCCACCGATAATGTTATCCAATATTATATATTAAAGCGATAGGGTTGTCAGCTGCGCACGCACGGGAATCAAGTCCCAAGCAGATATAACATGCGCTAATAATGCAAAGGCTCATGGGTAAACGTTTGTTTGTATACAATGTCACGCTACGGCCATCTGACGCATGCGCACGTGACAACTCCCCCACTTTAATTATTAATGAAAGAAAAATAAACTTCTTTATAACTGATATTCAATGTATTGTCAAGCATTTTCTTTATCAATTTTACAATTCAAGATAACATTAGAGGTTGCTATTTGTTAATGGAACTCGTTGATTAAATTCAAGTGCCATTTAAATTCATAAATATTTATAAAGATGAAGGGAATGCCAATCAATATGCACACTTATGTAAATTACAACATTGAAGACAGGGTCCAATGGGCCTTTCACTAAGAACTAAAAAATGATATTAAAACTATGCTTTGAATAGTGAACAAGATTTTATTATGTTTCATGCACTTTTTTCCTGTCTGTTTTTTTTTTTAATGTTTTAAATTCTCCCTTAATTGTTCAATGGTCACCCTCTGGTTTAATCACTTTGTAACTAACTGGCACAGAAAACTTGTAACAATTACATTTTATTGCATATAGTCATTAAATCACAATCAGAAAAATAAACATGGTCAACTGCATTGTATAATGCTATTAATCAACACAAACATAATTTACAACATTGACAAAGCAATATGGTATAAATTAATAAAACTATAGTATGCCTACTGTACTGTTGGTATAAAACAAATTTTTGAAAAAGTAAAAAAAAAACTGACTGTCAGAAACTTTTAGGAACTATAGTCAGTTTTTAGTAGATCTAGTCAGTGTTCAGTCACATCTTCAGCCACCAAGTCATCTGTGTAGTACTGCATAAACCATGTTATACTATCACCTCACAGTATAGGAAATCTAAGACTGGATCACTCACTCGGTTAACTGAAAGAAATTAAAAATAAATTAGAGTCACAATATAGAAATTTGTAGCATAGAACAGGAAAACATTTGCCTAACATTATTAATAAGGCAATACAGTAATTCCCCCTGCACAAGAACACAAACTCAGATTAAGGTAAATCGTCAGGGTCAACATAATTATGAATTTGTGGACTATTTAATCCAATTTATGATTTTTAATATCAAAGTTTATCAGTTGATCAGTGTGAAATACAGACATTATAATTGAATTTTAACTGGATAATGAAATATTTAGCATTGTGTCTAGACACAAGTGTAAGTGGAACACAAAATCAATTTAAGATTAAACTGAGACTGGTTTACATAGATTACGAGCCTGACATGTAGGCATCAAACCTCACTAACGCCTGACAGAATACTGTATGTTTCGTCGACAAGATCAATACTGCACAAAGTTAACGCCTTCTTGCAATGAGTTCAATGAATATTCATTTTGGTTGTCATGGTAACACAGTCAATCAAAGTGTTTGTATTGTCGGCAATAATCACCAACTGTTTTCAACAAGATGATAAACATTGGGCGGAAATACATTCTGCAGTGAATGGTTACTCTTTAATGGCTGGCACTTTCTAACGTTCCAGCAATTTCATTGGTACCAACAAAAAATTGTCAGGGCAAGTGGAAAATTACATCATTCTGTCAGGTGTGTGTTGGGTTTAGAGCACAGTGGAGGGCGCAACTCACATGACCTTGTCAGGCTAATAGATTACTTATGAGATGAATCTGATCATGTAACCACAAAATCTCATGTTCGGTCATTTTTTTTTCCATTGAATGTGTTTAATTCATCAGATTAATCTGATCCAATAAACTGATAGTGTAAATATCCATTTTCTCATAAGATCTAATAAATCTGATCAGTTAAATTTAATCATGTGAACTGGATTTGATGTGCTTACTTTAAATATTCACTGGTTTTAAATAATGTATTTAGCTCCGTATCAGTAGTGGTACTTACTTTAAATTATTTACAGATTATATTCATCCTATGACGTCAATGTCAAATATTAAATCCTAATTTTCTCATACAGTCTTTATGTGCCTCAATGAGGTCACTGCATTCACTCTCTCCTTTCTCCATAATGCTGAAAAAAAAAAAAACTTTCACGTTTAGCTTGCTGTTGTCTGATCTATATTCAATATGTCACGAAACATATTATTCAGTCCCTCCAACAAATCAATCGAAATTTTGAAAAAAAATTGAATTTGAACAAATATTATGAGCAAGTACACTGTACAGAAAGTGTTCACGTGAAATAGAACACTGTAATGTCAACAAATTAGCATATGAGGTGTGCACAATGATATATTTGTATTTGGCATGAGCGGATTTAGAGGGGTGCCGAGGGCGCTAACAGGACTTCGTGCCCTCAGCGCTCGGGAACTTGGCCCTCTGCCAACTTATCGCCCCCTCCCCTATTCCAGAATCCTAGATCCGCCCCTGTTTGGTGTTACTGTAAAATGACTAATTTTCAATGGGTTTAAATTTCACTGAATTACCATTTCAGGCATATTCAGTGGGTTTTAAATTCATGGTTTCGTCATTTAGATAATGTGTTCTATGCTAAATTTTACATATTTACTTGGTTTTAACTTAGCGCTTATTCCAGTCAGCGAAATAAGCTAAATTAAAACCCAGTGAATAATTACCCCCTTTACAGTTTTTCAATAATAGTTCTACAGTCAACACTCCATCATTTCATTCTGTCATATTGTGAAAATATGCAAGTGATAAATATATATTCACACAAGTGAAAGTATTGATGGATTATATATAATAATCTGCATTATGTATTATCATATTAATTTTAAATAATTTGGTGCGTGACCCCAATTTGTTTTTTCACATATGATCTTGTATAGCAATAAGCAAACTATTCACAATACATATATATATAAACAATATATATATATATATATATATATATATATATATATATATATATATATATATATAAACAACAAAGACTTCCATTGAACTGTGTTGCGCCACCTTAAGAGTACGAGTATAAAAGTATACTAAGTATGTATGTCGCATGTAGTTTGCTAGAAAACTTCTTGCATTACAGGCGTCCGCGGCGCACTGATCACACTGTTCATTTCTTCCGTGTCAAGTTACTACAAAACGACTTACGTACATTTTTTTGACAGTTCATCCATTATAAATAAAATAAAGGATTCCTCATTGCCCATTAATGCACGAGAATAGGGCCTGCACGCTGTTTTCTCTTGAAAAATTATTGCGCAAATCCTCGACCTTGTCCTGTTACTAGTACAAGTGTATCACGCAACAATATGCAGTGTGTCGTCCTAAATAACGGGCATACTCACCAAGCATCTCTGGCTTTTTTTGTCTCGGGACATGCACAACACGCCTTCAATTTCGGTTTCTCTGTACTGTTATTTTGATCATTTGATCCCGGCATCGTTGTTTTTATACCGTGTGCGAATCAACTTTAAATCGTGAGATCACTGAGCGAGAAATAAACAAGACGTGCGAAACGTGCGTATCAATGACCTGACCTGACCGGTTGATGATTTACATCCGGTTTTAAGGACTATCTAATCGAAGCCGAATACGAGATACAATTGCATAATATAATATTATTATTATTTTTTAATAGATCTGAAATTACTAGTCGCACCAACAATAAATAAAACAATGTTTTAAAATAAACGTATTTATCACTTGTTTGCAACGCTACTACCCAGCATTCAAAGTGTAAACATGGCGGAACCGCTTCCTTCAGAGGTAGGTTTGTTTGTTTTTCTCTGAATTTATTGGCTTCAAGGCTTAGAAGTCCAGTATTCTGAGGACACTAAATTTCAAAATAAAACATCTTTCAGACTGAGTGAAATTTAGACTGAAATATCGAAGAGCATCAAGTTATGAATCTGTCCGAGGAATCTGAGTGTACATGTATTGTTTGCAGTCCCTTAAACAGTGTCAGTTCTGACTTGTTTATCTACATATTCTTTCACTCCCAGTATTGTATCGGGCACAATATCTTCAGTTAGACGTGTCTATGGGTATGAACAACCCTGTTTGTTGAACTGCAGTTGCTGCTGCTTTGTAAAAAATGGCCGGTTTGTCTTTGTTGGGTAGCCTGACGAGGTCGCGTGAGTTGCGCCCTCCGCGGTGCTCCAAACCCAACACACAGAACGATGTAGTTTTTCACTTCTCCCTACGATTTTTTGTCGGTACCAATAAAATTGCAGGAACGTCAGATAGTGAAAGCCATCAAAGAGTAACCATTCACGGCAGAGTTTATTTGTTTGTTGACATAACGTGTGATAATGTGTGCTGGTAAATTTCCGCCCAATGTTTATCAATGTTGAAAACGATCTGTGATTTTTACCAACAATGCAAACACTTCTTTGATTGACTGTGTTGGCTAGCCAACCCTAACATTCAGACCAATTGCAGAGCAGTTTGTTTGTAGACAAGTTTTTTCAGAGTATCAAATTCTACCTTGTATATATGCTTCAAATTAACTGCAAAAGCTGGGTTACCATAAAAGTGGAGTTTACTGCAAAACAAACAAGAAACTTGTGTCTCTATAAATATTAATAAGCATTTCAGTGTCATCACAAATTGGCCTAATTTATGTATCAAATGATTTGATTGATGTAGTAAGCATACATATAAATTTACATTCTTTCGAATTGGTTGTGAATAGCAGGCAGTCGATTGCTAATGCGCCAACAAAAATAAGTAACACAAATGCAGTATCGCATAAGATACAGGAATGTATGTGTTGTATGTGGGTCAAATATAGAGGAATCAACATTTACTAGAACCTTGTTTCCAAACAGGCTGTAAACTGTCCTCAAAGCCGTACTTCAACTATTAATAGCAATTAGTAAGCTCTAGTATGCAAGGTACATGCAAATAGCCATTTTGTTGATGCATGCTACATTTTATCAAAATAGAACTTTTGATTGCTCTGTGACTTCATGTAGACACTCTTATAATATATACAACTACAATAATTATCTTCTAGGTGTATGATGAAGAGCATCATGATTCTGCAGAAACTCCAGGAGAATCAAGTCAAGGAAAAAGGAAAAGACTCTTTTCTAAGGAATGTAAGTCATAAAATGAACAAGTTGCATGTGATTTGATGAAATTTATGACTGCCGCAATCATAATCAAATTTATAGGAATGATCAGAATTGTTAGGCAGTTATCAAGAAGCCATTGTCGATTCGCTGAAGCCGACCATCCATGGCTTTCTCTACGAACCTGAGCATGATTTTGTTTGGAAAAGCTGTATTTGACCTTGAATCAATTGAATGATTTGATTGGGTGTGCAAAATAGCTTTATTCATTGATCAACATTTTAACAACGACTAGCATCATTCCCAAATTTTGAATCAATAGATTTGTTAGTCTTGTATCACGTTATAGCTTAACCGATATAAACTCACGACTTTGTGTTCGACTCGCTATGGAAATGCATCATAACACTTGATCTACTGTTGAAAACGCGACATGCAATTTTAGCGAATTTCGGTAAAATGACGTAATGGCGAAATGTTGATTTAGCGAATATCTCTTGTCATTGTTGAATTCCTGTTTTGATAATACTTGTCTGTCACGTGCCAAAACAAATGCACGGATATCATCTCCATAAAAACAAAGAAAAACTGTCAAGTGTAATTAGGAAGCGCCCCAGATTTTTATGTTCCGGATTACTGTATACAAATCCCCATGCCTTGGTCATCTTGAATTTATAATAAAGTCATTAGCGACATCTTGAATTAGCGAATCAGTTCTCTCATTAAAAAGACATGCTCGCGAAAAAGACATGTTTTACAGTATTTACCATGGAAACACACCAGAGCATGTGCCATTGTGTTTGATTTTGTCAATGGCCGAATGAAATGATCGTTGGCTGGGGATGATGTCAAGAAGATGACACATACATGGTATATGTCACATACAATTTTTATGTACGTCAGAGCTACTTGAAATACCCAATGATACAACTTTAATAGATGTTGATAAATATGACTGTAGGGTTAAATATTCTGCCATTTATTAGTTTCCATATTTTGTTTCAGTACGATGTATGATGTACGGTTTTGGAGATGACCAGAATCCTTATACAGAAACAGTGGATTTACTGGAAGATCTAGTATCGGAGTTTCTTACAGAAATGGTATGAAAATTGATTTTTTTAACTCCTTATATTCCCAGCAAATAACACTTAAAAAATATGAGAAAGGAACTGCCAAGTTCAACATTGCGAGATATTTTACTAAGGGGGAAGAATCACGATGTTCATTTTTAAACTATTAAGACAAAGTGAAGTGGCCCAATATTGAAAAATTATGTTGAGTTTTGGACACTGACTAAATTAGTTTTAAATTCCTGGCTTCCTGATGATGAAAAAAAATTAATTTAATTTTTGTTAATTTCTTTTGTAGACACACAAGGCTATGGAGGTTGGGCGAGTAGGACGAGTGCAGGTTGAAGACGTTGTCTTTCTCATACGCAAAGATCCAAGAAAATATGCCAGGGTTAGGGACTTACTAACAATGAATGAAGAACTAAAGAAGGCAAGAAAAGCCTTTGATGAAGCAATCTATGACATGAAAGTGGAATAAGAACAATGCACATTGTATGTGGAACTGAAATTTATATACACAGGCGCCCTCTAGTGTCAAGATGTGCTAAAACGTTTTATGTTATTAGCTCCCTGGTTCCACGGGCAGAAACAAACTTAAAATTTAGGAGTACATTTTTAATTCATTTTTTAATTAAAAAACTATTTAAAATTTACATGTGTTTAAAATGTGCTTTGCCTGTGGAATGTGTGATTTTGCTTCTTTCACACAAAAATTTGGATGGCACTGACTGCCCTCAATAGCAAGGACAATAAATTTTTAGCTCCGCTGTCGACTTTGTCGAGCGGAGCTTATCATATGAGTGATTGTCCGTCGTCGTCGTCCGTGTCAATGTTTTACTTTTTCGACTTCTTCTTGAAAACTACAAGCCTGAATGATTTAATACTTGGTGTATATGTACCTTGGGTAGACCTCTCTTAGGTTTGTTCATTTCATGTTGATATCTTCAATTCTCTAATTTTGGTGAATATTTTTGTCATTTTTGGTAAAAAGTGATATTTTCGACTTCTTGTTAAAAACCGCAAGTGCAATTGCTTTGATATTACATATATAGGTACTACATGTGGACCTCTCTCAGATTTGTTCATTTTGTAATGATATCTTTAATTCTCTAATTTTGGTGAATATTTTTGTCATTTTTGGTAAAAAGTGATATTTTCGACTTCTTGTTAAAAACCGCAAGTGCAATTGCTTTGATATTACATATATAGGTACTACATGTGGACCTCTCTCAGATTTGTTCATTTTGTAATGATATCTTTAAGTCTCTAATTTTGGTGAATATTTTTGTCATTTTTGGTAAAAAGTGATATTTTCGACTTCTTGTTAAAAACCACAAGTCCATTGCTTTGATATTACATATATAGGTACTACATGTGGACCACTCTTAAATTTGTTCATTTGTAATGATATCGTCAATTCTCTAATT